CCAACGTAGTGATTCTGTGATTCTGTGATTTGCTGTTTAATGGGTGTCACGCCAACAGCTGAAAAGTGAAGTCCCAATTTATGGAAAGCACATGGCTTTGATTAAATAGAAAAATTGATCCACACACTTAAGTGCTTTACTGAACTGAAGCCAAAAAATAACTTGCTGCTCATCAGGACTTGGCTTCTTTGCTGAGGTTTCTGGCAAAAAGTCTGATAGTGCCAGATGGGGTGATGACTTTTGTCTTGGTTGAGTACATGCAACTTTTTCCCCTCCTCAGAGGTGCTGTATTAGTTTGAGATGTGTGTGAGGATTTCTCATTCATATGAATGCTTGTGTCCTTCTGCTTGGCATAACCTCTGTAGTTCCTCCACCAAGAAGTAAAACAAGTTTTTCTCATTATTGTGAGTCTTTATGAATTATTAGGGGTAATGCTTCTGTCAGAAAACCTGTGACAGCACAGCAGAAACATTCGTGCTTGCCCAAAGAAACAAATAGACTAAATCTAGTTAGGAGAAAACACCACTGAGTAGTGATTTTTACAGAGAAAGGCAATCGGGCATTGTCAGCAAAATTTCATATTAAGCTGTAAAATGCAAGGCCAAGGAAAAGAAACAACTATCATGAAGATGCAGTACAAATCCAGAAAGGGAAGAGAGTTCAAATGGCTTCATGTATTATGTAATGTGCTTAGGGCTTCCATATTTCTTCTTGGGAAGTCACAGACAGAAAACATAGGCATGTGGGCAGCAAATCTGACATATGCTGCTACGTAAGCCATACTGCATATTCCCAGAATCAACTTGTAACAAATACTGAATGTGCTGGGTCTGCCGCATGGGTGCCGTGACCCCTCTCTGCCTGGGCAGGATGCTCATGGTGTCGCACAGTGTGCGCTGGCTGCACATGTGCACGAGCCGTGGCCGGTTTTCCTGGGCCTTCCCAGAAAGGAAAGGAAGCTCGCTGCAGCTCCTGCCAGGCACCACCTTCCTGTGTCTGGAAGCCTGCCGTGGACAAACTCCTGTAGCAAGTGTTGGTGCAGACTACTGTCTTAACGGCCCTGACACTAGAGGTGCTTTGTTCTTGAGGGTAATTTCAAGATGCCTGTAGGAATAGTAGAAACTGGTGATGGAGGTGCATTTCTTATACGCAGAAACTGGGCGGTGCAGTAAGTCTCTAGCCCATACTAACCAGATTCAATGACAAGTTAAACTATTATTTCTTACCTTTTATCTTTTTTCCTTTTTTTGCCTTGCAATTTAATGCTCTTACTTATTTGTACAGTGGATAATTACCATAGCATCCAAGTGTTCCAACTGTGAGCATTTGCAAATATGGTGCATGCACTGGTTTTCAGTCTTTTTTGACATGCACAAGTGTTCCGTAGTGGAAGTGTTGGCTGCTGGATAGTGTGTTTGAAAGCAGAGTTTAAAAATGTCCATTTTACAGAAAAATGTATTTATTTTCCTGAAGAGTCTACGGCTGAAAACAGGTAAGGTAAGAAAGGGAAAGAAGTATAATTGCAGCCTTTATTTTACGTGTGGGGAACGGTAGCTGAGAGAGTGAGTTGTCCGAGGTTGAGGGCAAGTTTAACCACAAACTAGATGTTAATCTCTTAAAATACAGTCTAGTTGCTTAACCACATGATTGTTGTTTCTTCTGTCCTATTGAAAAGATAAAATGGATGCTTTATGGTTAGAAAGAAGTGTTAAAACGTTTCCTGAACTTCACTGTCTCTAATGTTGCACATTGTGTTATTAAAACTGAAAGCATTTTTTCAGTTCATTTGCTTATCACTAAGATTGCAATCTTTTTGTATTTCTCCTCATCAAGACAGGAAAACGGATCTGCCAGTGTCAACTTCTGTAGAGTAGTCAGTAGCCTGTCTGATTATTTTTAGCTTTTCTTCTGTTTGCAGAAAGCTGAAAAAACAGGGTTGTATTTGATACCTGTAAAACCAGTATGGTGGTCCCAGTCATTTTGGAAGATGTTCTCTGTGTATTATATGTAGTAACAATATTTACTACATGTAGTTCTTCTCAGAAACTTGTTTGGTGAATGAGAGAGGCAGGGAGCACAGAAGCACTTGTGATTAGTGTTTGTAATAAGGGGGGCTAGAAGACAGAAGTGAAACTTACAGGGCTTTCATCTTAAGGGCTATGATCTGCATAAGTATGTAAGGTTTTAAAATTGGGGGAGGAATATAGCTTATTTTTTAAAATAAGCATGATAAAAAACAAAGTTCTGTTGAGTCACAGGATAATTCATTTTGGAAGAAGTCTAAGGATATTCCAGTCAGCACTAATATCCAGGCTGAACTTCCCATTTTTCATTTGTATGTGTATTGTCTCTTCTGCTCTTGCCATGAGCCTCTGCAAAGAGCCTGACTCTTTTATCTCAATGATGTCCCCGTAGGTGTGCACAGGTGGCTATTTGGGCCCCCACAGCCATCTCTTCTACAGGCTGATAAGCCCCTGCTTCCCCAGCCTCTCCTTACAGGGTGACTGCTCTAGCCCCTGACCATACTGGTAGTCCTCGCTTGAGCTTGCTCCAGTTTGTCAATGTCTTTCCCATATTGCGGGCCCAAAACAGGAGGCAGTAGGTAGATGGGATCTCGCAAGTGCAGAGCAGAGGGGGACAATGACTTGCCTCAATCTATTGGCTGCTCCTTTTCATACCATTCAGGATGCTTTTGGCCCTCTTTGCTGCTGGAACATGCTATGGCCTCATGCCCAGCTTGCTGTTTATCCTAGGGTCTTCCCCCAGCTGGTACCATCACCAGGGCGTCTTCCTTCCCAGGTGCATTTGTCCTTGGAATTTCATATGGTTCTTGTCAGTGTATCAATCCAGGCTATCCGGGTCCCTCTGGGTGGCCGTCCTGCCCTCAGACATATTGACTGTGCCCCTCAGTGTGATCTGCAAACTGGATGAGAGTGCACTCCATTGCCACTTCTAGGTTGTTTGATAAAGGTGTTAAACAGGACAGGTACCAGCACAGACCTCTGCTGTACCCCAGTTGTAACTGGCCTCCAGGTAGAGTAAGAACCATTGACCACAACTCTCTAAGGCTGACCAACAGACCACCTGATCCAACAAGTTACTTACTCTAGTAGTTGTGTACCCATTCAGCCATAACATCCTAACTTGGATACAAGAATATCATCAGAGGTAGTGTTGAAAGCCTTGCTAAAGTCAAGGGAAATGACATCCAATGCTCTTCCATCATTCACAAACCTGGTCATTTTATCCTGGAAGGCAAATGCTTTGTCAGGCATCAGTTGCCCTTAACCAATTCATGGTGATAGTTTCCAGTCACCTTCACCTCATGTCCCCATAAATGCCTCCCAAAAGATCTTGTTCCATGATTTTCCCAGGGACTGAGGTGAGGCCAACCAACCTGTAGTTCCTTGTGTCATCCTTTTGGGCTTTTTCGAAGATGGGTGCAACATCTGTCTTTCTGCAGTTATCCGACACCTCCCCTGATGCCCATGATCTTTCCAAGATCATGGAGAGTAGTCTCACTATGGTATTGGACTGCTCTGTCAGCACCCTCAGGTGCAGGCTGTGAGGTAGACTGGACCCTGGACTTACATGGGTTCAGCGCTCTCAAGTAATCACTGACTCAGCCCTCCTCCACTGCTGGTAGCTGTTCTTCTCTGTTTATTTATAAATCCTCGTAGAAAACTTTTTTTCTGATTTCTGTCACTGGAGATTGGAGAAATAGTTGCTGACTTCTTTCTCCTATGGATTCTTGCAGTTTTGTCTTATGTGTAATTGGTTTTTACTCAGTTATCTCTTCAATTCATAGATCTTCTCTGCCTTCTAATTTGGAGATAAGGCAACTGGAAGATGGGACTGAAGGAGTATTTGCTCTGACTCAGCTAGTGAAACGTACCCAGTTTGGCCCATTTGAATCCAAGAGAGTTGCCAAGCTGGAAAAAGAATCAGTTTTTCCCCTGAAGGTAAGACATAACACATGAAAAGCAATAACAGAGTCAGTTTTACCCATGACGATTTTATGCTATCTACCACTACGGAAAAAAATGTGTGTAGGGGGGTTATTTGGGACATATTTTAGGCATGCCCTGTAACAGACTACCTAAACAAGCATTCTCTGGGCAAGATACAGAAGAACCAAACTAAAGACTTGGTCTACGTGTTTGAAGTGAACATCCTTATAGAACATAGGGCTAGGATACTGTCAGCAAAACTGCTTGTCTTCACTTTCTGCATGTGATGATACAAGAGGGACAATGACTATGGCAGTTCATTTCAGTTGTTTTAATGAGTCACTTCAATTTGATTGTATTTGCTTAATGAGTGGCATACGCATTAGGTTTATGGAACATGCAGAATAATTGGTTTTTATGTCATGTATTTGTTTTATTCTTCTCTTGACAAGTTTTGGTAGGAAAAATGCTATGGTAAAAATTGAATTCAGTCTTACGTTTTTCATTAATACCTAACTCAGAGGCAAAGATTTAGAAATGTTACTTGGGCTGGTGGGTGTTTCACAGCCTGCTGTTTGGATTCCCCTCCATTCTCCTGTATTCAGTCATTCAAATTTTGTGAGAAACTGGTGGCTATAGCAAGAATTTTTAGGATAGAAGTTCAGTTTGTTCCTGTCCTGCCCCTGGTAGTCTGTCTCGGACTTACTGACCTGAAGATGTGACTGATACATGAAACATGCTTGATCCAAGTGTTGAGGCTTGCTTTGTCTCTGATGTACATTGAATGGAAGCCATTGCAAAAGCAGAAGACAAAAATTCTTCTTAACTTTGTATTATTTGTTAGGGTTTTATTATATGCATATTTTGCTTGGCAGGTGTTCCAGAAGGATGGGCCCTTGGTATATTTTGACACCTCAAATGAAGATGATTGCAACTGGATGATGATGGTGCGACCAGCCACTGAATATGAGCATCAAAACTTAACTGCCTTCCAGCATGACAATGATATTTACTTCACCACCTCCCGGGACATCCCACCAGGAACTGAGCTGCGAGTGTGGTATGCAGCTTTTTACGCCAAAAAAATGGAAAAGCCAGTGCTGAAGCAGGTCACTAGTATTGCCAATGGTATGTGTGGGGGCCTTTTTTCCTTCCTAAGGGCCCAGTCCTGATAGGGACTGATAGTCCCCTACTGTTGTAGTTGACAGTGCTGTTTATCAAATAGGCTCTGAGCCTTAATTTGTTAGTCTTTAGAGTCAGGCTAACCTGCATACATGGTTGCCCTACAAGAAGAAAGCATAGATTCTTCACCTTGGTATATCTGAGTTTTTGAAAACGGATGGCCTAGTTGATGATTCAGCCTCTTCAGAGTGCCAGTGTAAATGTAAATGTATATTCAGATTTGCTAAGGAAGCCATCCTTTTTCAGTTGTAGTGAAAATGTTTTGGTTTTGGTCAGAACTGTTACACAGTTCTAAAAAATGACTTTTGTCTTAATGCAGCCTTACATGGGACCCACTGGAATAAGGAGTGAACTGCCATTGCACATGATTGCTTGTGCATTGGCAAAGAAAGGCAGCAGATTTTTTAGAATCTGAATTAGAATTGCCAGAAGTCTTTTCTTGCTCTGCCCCTTTGTTTTCTTCTACTTTTGCATTTCTACAGATAAAAGGCGTGATCCTTTATCACTGGAAAGGCATTTTCTTTCTGATATTATGTTGGGAGTACTCCCCAGATGGTGTTACTGTTACACTGAGTATAATTTGGGGTGACAAGTGGCTTGGGGAGAGGCCATTGCCATCAGTATGCTTTATGGCTGATCTTGATGGTAAGCACAGTCCTAAGTGCTACAGCTGAATTGATGTGGTTAATGGGTTTCTGAATTCTAAGATGTTTCCATTTGGTATTAACTGAGAGGTTTCATCTTTTTCCTCTGTACTTTAACGTATTCATGTATTCTTGTGTGCATAAGGGTATTTAAAAATATTGTTTAGGTACGTCCTGCTTTCTCTGTTCATCCCTTTCACTATACATCCCAGAATATGAAAGGCACATTGTATGAGATTAGGGCATAACAGTGTCCTGATTGGGATTTTACATGAGAGTGTTTTTTACAGGCCTGCTATAGGGCAAAACTTTCTGACTATGATTACTGCCCTCAGCACAGAGCAAAAGAATCAAAGGGTCTGGCAAGTAAAGAAAAGGAACTGTTTTTCCTCTTCACAGATATGTGCTTGGTAGTAATGGAATCTGATAAAGAGGGGAATAAAAGCTCTTCAAAACCTTCGTCTGCTGTCTTCTCCCATAAAAAAACGAAGAAATCCAGCATACCAGCAGCTGATCCAGCAGGTATGCAAAATTACGGTATTTTTAAGGGAGATAGAAGACAGATATAGATGCAAACAGCTGTTAGGTGTACCACTTCTGTCCATATATTGCAGTTATATAACTTTCAGCAAATACTAATTTAGAGAGCATTTGAAAGTCTGCATTTTTCTTTTTATTTTCATGGTCACAGTGCTTAAAATACATATGCAGGCTAAAAAGTGACAGAGGGACTGATAAACCAACAGAGGGGCGGATGATTTTCATGAAAACCACGACTACTTCTGACTTTGGGGGTGGTTAGTTTGGGGTGGGGGCAATGCCAAAGAAAATCTTCAGACTCTCTGTGCAAAGTGTAGGTTCTAGAAGAAAACATGCGACTGTGAGTGAATGCAAACCACTGTTTGGAAATTACAAGAACACTGGTGATCAAAATTACAATAATAACAGAAGCCTATTAGAGTTCAGGCTGTACTTGGTTACAGGAACTCAAATTTAGATAAACTTACAAGTAGTACAGATACTCTTGGCAAAGAGCATATGGCTCAGGAAATAACTAGTGGTGTCATAGGAACTCAGTCCCCAAGGTCGATTATGAAGCAATGTCCTCCTACACTGTAATCTCTGATAAGTAGAACAATGACATTAAGAACCCACTTAACACAAATTGACATGTCTAAAAATAAACTCAGAGTGTACAGTGTGGAGATCAGGATCAAAAGACAACTGTTCTGGGTCTGTTGTTTGCAAAGGTTACTTTGCTAAATTTTGCCTACTAAAAGTAGCCAGAAGGAGGAGAGTTGTTGCAGATGTGTACAGAGCAATTCATCAGAAGATCCATTCATTTAACTTGGATACTGTCACAGCTAAAATGTGAAGTTGACTGGGGAGTTGTCTTTCAGTTTGGCATCACTGATTTTTTGGGGCCAGAGAGGCGGAACTATGAAGAATTTGAACAGCCCCTCCTATATCCTTCATCCTACTGTCTGAAAGTCCAACTCAATAGAAACAAAACACTGCCTATTATACTTTGGGAACCCTACACTGAGGTAGTGTTTTGGTGTTTCTAAACAAAAATATGCCTCTTGATTGTGACTCTTTGCCTCAAGTCATACAAAGCTGTGGCTAACTGACAGATCTGTGCTTCCAAGTAAACTGCGTTGCCCTGCAACCACCCTGGAAGCCTGAAAAAGTGGGAACATAAAAAGGACCTGACTCTTCTGGCAAACGAGTGCACAGGTAGGTTTACTGCTTGAGACAGCTAAGGAGCAAGGAAGTGCAATCAGGGACAATTTCCCAAGGAAGCTTCAGTTTTGTAGGTAGTGCTTTTTCAGTTTTACTAGCCTGCAACTTCATGAGACAGGCACAATAGCTTACATGTTGCTTAACAATCTGACTTTTTTTTTTAAGTTATGCAGGATCTTGGGGTTTAGGTTTGCTGGTTTTGGCCTCCTGGACAGAGCTCTCAAGATAAGAAGTTCTTGATGTAGCCTGTGAAGAAGGAATCTCTGTTGCTGAATTGTCTAGTCAGTTTTTATTTATTACAGCATGGATGAGCTACACACCTCTGTAGTGTAGAACATTGAATGTAATTTGTAGCACAGAACAACTTCTGCCTCAGAGAATCTTTTCTTTTGGTTTAAGAGCCAACAGTGAAAAGGAGGAAGTAAGTTTATCTTCCCATTACAGATGGGGTCCTCAGGCAGAGAGAGATTAACTGACTTCCTAATGATCTGTGGCAGAAACTGAGGTACAGTTTGAATCTCCTGTGCTGCCATTCACTTAACCTAATTTTAGTGTCATCCTCCTCCTCTGGGGAAGTCTTGTACACTGTGGAATATTCAGCTTTGTGTGTACCAAAAAAAATCTCTGAACCAGTCCAGATTTATCAGATCCTCTTGACAAATTCAGACATATCATCCAGAACTTAAAGACAATGGACTGCGAACAGAGAAATCGTTTTCCTCTTTTCTGGTTGGTTTTTTTTTTTTTTTTTCATTCCAGTTCCATTTCCTCCCTAATTTCTTACTTTCTTTATCTGGTGTGAGCTGATACGTTAATTTAAACATGAATATGGTGGTTTCATAGAACATCTAATTAATGAAACCGCTCAAAACCAGGTTTTCATTGTCCTCACCCTTATTTCCATTAACCCAAATGTTCTTACTCTGCAATGCTCTTCAAAGAGAGCAAGGAGGCTTCTCCTGCTTCTATCATCAGGTGACCCAGAAGAGGACTGGTAACCCCGGTTTTAAAGGTGCTAAAAATTGCTTTATATTGTGCCTTTGGTAATCACAGTTCTTTAGAAAGTGGTAAAGGGACCATCTAGACTTTATAAGAGCACTGATATTCTCTCCTGGCATCATTTAGTTTCTGTTCTGACTTCTCATCTGTTCTGATGTTCTAAGTGTTCATGTTTGGAAAATCCTGAAGTGGTCCCAGCTACTCCTGTGGGCCTCTTACTGCTTAAATCATAACTTGTGATACCCAGGGAGTTATTGCAACGTAAACAAAGCTACAGGGATTTACCACCTTCCCATTTTCAAAGTTTTTCAGTATTTCTTCTTGTTGTGATTTAGTGAACACTCCAGAAGGTAGTGGAGCTGCAGAAGCAGAGTCCAGCCAGTGGACGTGTAAAGTGTGTTCGTCTGCTTTCCAGGAGCCTCAGCTGCTGACAGGTGAGAAGTGCTAGAAATTATTGAGAGAGTACTGAGAAACAGCAGGAGAATTCTGCTCTTCCAGAGCAGGACACTGTGAAGCCATACCGCATCCATGATGCAGTAAGATAAAAGCTTTAATTTTTATGTTCATTTAAGAAAAAGAGTAGCAGGGAAGGTAAAACAGTGATATTTTGGATACAGTAGTGGTCAGTCTCTGGGAAAATACCTGTGATGTTGAATCTAGAAGAAATAAAACTGTTGTCTAGGAGATGACATGTTAATGTGAGGAATATCAAGGATGGGAACTGCATGAGCAGTGTATACGGTCAGTGATGCCAGGTTATACTTAGTGATATTGTCTGGTATTTATGGCGCAGATTTTGTAAAGGTAGTGAAATACTTCCTTTTTTCTTCTGCATTTCATTTGCAGCTATTTTATGCAGTTTTCAAAGGAACTTAAAATATTTAAGAGCTCTGACCATTTGATGAATCATTTTTGAAGAGGGGACTTAGGCTGTAAATAACTTGGGCATTTGGGAAAATGTACCCATTATCAGGGGGGGTGCAATCTTTTTCCAGTGATGTCTAACAAATCTGTTAAAAAATTCAGTATCTGTGAATAATCATTTCAATGTTTAATAGACTGTATGCTTTTATTTAGGAAGGTATTGCAACTGCTTTTGAAAGAATTTGAAGTCTCTCTGCTAAGTGAGGTTGACCTGACAGATAGGCTTCATCTCAATCTATCCCTTTGAGTATTTCATGACAGTTTCATTCCTCCTTACTCTCTTGTTCTCCCCCTTCCACCCAGAGCACTTGCTGAGTCACCTGGAACAAGCTAAAGGTGCCCCCCAAACCACCCAAAACGAGGCTGTTGCAGAGAGACCAGCAGAGGCTTCCCCTGTGGATCAGCCAGTGATTTGTGATGCAGCCAGTGCCAGTACAGACTCAAGGAGGAAGGCCAGGCGGGGAAGAAAGCCCAAAACAGCAAAAGCAGAAACACCTCTTGTCATTGCTGAAGAGAAAGATTCTGCGGGTAAAATAAAGCTTAAGAAAATGCTAAGCACATATCCTCTCCTATGCCTGTATTGATGCCTTCTCAGAAGGGCCTAGAAAGCAGCACGGAGACAAGATGGCAGTTTTTAGTCACATCACTAAAGCAGACAATTTACAAATTTTGTTAATTATCTCTGAGGTCTTTGTCTGCACTAAATGTTGCAGCACCTACACTTAGATTGCCTGCATTCTCCTGTGATTGTTTCAGTAATAGAGAGGCCCAGAGAAACACAGGATAGTGGTTATGAGAAACCTGCCTAGCTTTCTGCAAGAAGCAACAGGAGAGAAAGCATCCTTCCTCTCAAGAGGAGATACCTTCCTCACTCTACCTTAAGGTTTATTCTTGAAAGGGACTGTTTTTCAGGGCCTTACCTTCCTTTACGGGAGGTTCTAATAGGAAATTTCATGATGCATAGTCAACTGATGCCTTAGTAATAGGTTGGAGAGGTAAGAAATCACACCTCCGTAATACATGTTAGCTACATCTTACTTGTCATTCAGTAGACACTTTCTCTATCTTGCAAGTGCTACCTACTCATTAGCAATCCATTATCTGTTGTGGACAAATAATATGTTCAGTGCCACATCTCATTACAAAAGCAAATTTTTGCATTTGTGGTTTTATTTCTAGCTATCCACATTAACACTGTATTTTTGTGATGTGTTTGCAGCAGAACGTGTAGCTGACGTTGTAACTGAGGTCCCACCAGAAGAGGTAGCCCTGCCTTCAGCTGCAGAAGAGAGAATTATGGAATTGGTTTTAGGAAAGATGCCTAGCGCCACAAATAGCATCAGTTCAAAGTAAGTGCTCTGGAATGCAGAATTTCCTCACAGGCTTAATTAAGATTATGTAGCATGTAACAGCTCTGCTCAACTTCTGGGCCCACAGATGCTCTTTTTATTAGCCTAAAATTGTGTGATGCTGCTGCTACAAGAGCTGACTTTGAGTGCCGCAGAGATGGCTTGTGCACTGGAGGATGGTGCACAGATGGTGAGATGTTGGTGGTAGAATTCTGGAGCATGAACCATGAGAATTTCATTTTCCGTCACATTACTGCTTTTATTCAGTGTGATTCCAAAAGCCTCCTGCAGCTGCAAGGTGAAATATTACTCCCGTTGAATGTTGGTGACAAAACAGGCAAAGATATTTTTGCTAAAAAAATTATGCTAACCATTATTCCTCGGTCTTGCTTGTCATCTTAACTCATGAATGACTTCATGTTGATTTGTGCATGTGATACTTCAGATTCAGAGCAGTGGGAGGGGAAAACTTAAGTATAACAGAACCTCGGGGGGACTCTTAAATATAATTTGATTAATTTAGATTCTTTTATGTCTTTTTGTCCTGGTAAAATAGGCTTTTTGAATTATTTTTTGTATAATAAAGCATTTGATTTTTCAAAATTAGCTAGTAGAGCTATATATTGAAGTCCTTGGCAGACACAGAGCCATCAAAAATGCATTCCAGCGGGTGGTTGTGCTGGGAAATAGAACAGTACTGCTTCTTGCTGCCCTGCTGTCCTGTTATCATATACGCCTTTTGCATGCAAACTGCCAAGCTTCTTAAGCTGAAATAGTGCTAATGTTTTCAGAGGAAAAGCAGAACAGATCCTTTATGTTTCTCTGAGGGGCCTGGACAGAGAATCTCTGAGGCTGGTGGCTGCTGCTTTTTTCCTTGTTTGTGCTAGGTGAAGGTAATTTGGGGTGAGCTGCACTCTGACATCTGCTGCTTCCAGCGGGGTGGCCAGGAGTGTGCCTGGGCAGCGAGGAAGCTCCAGGCCCCCGACTCCTGCCAGAAGCTCAGCATAACACTCCTCTAGCTTTTGCCAGCTGGTGGGACTCTTTCTTGCAACCTGTGGGATACCTTTCAGTCCCTGCCTTTCTTTCTCTAATCCAGTAGGTTTGCTCATCACCAAAACACCATGTCCCTCAAAAGAAGTTTAATTCTCTCCAGTAGACATGGTATACGACGGAAGCTGATAAAACAACTTGGAGAGCACAAGCGAGTATATCAATGCAGTATATGCAGTAAGATCTTCCAGAACAGCAGCAACCTCAGCAGGCACATCCGTTCTCATGGTGCGTTTGATTTTGTCTCTCAGTGGTTCCACCTTCGAGTAAAAGAGCTAGGCTATTCTTAGATATTGTGATACATAATTTTAATAGAACTCTCTTTCTGTTTGTCTTTTTTTTTTAAACTCTTTAGGAAACTCTTGTAGTTTTGCAGACCAAAGCATGGGAAGATAATAGTTGAAAGTTGAAATTTGAATTTGAATTTAGGTACATATTTTAAACGGGATGAGAAGGTGATGGTGTTCCCAGAACTGTTCTTCCCCTTAAATATATACATACATGTCGCCCCCACCTTCACAGGCACATGGGTAACGTTGCTGTGTAAATGTCAGCCGAGTGCTTTTAGCTTGTGACCTGCAGTTCCGGGGGTCCATGACCTACTTCTAAGGATTCCATGAAAAATAATCACTGAAAAAGGGTGGGGGAATCAAACAAAATTGTTGTTAAAATTATTGGGAAGGGTTAAAGTCCCCTATTTGGATCTCCTGAGTTACTAAAGCTTCTCATCACTAGCCTGTTTGTTTGCAGTTCCTTGTGCTTTGGTTTCCCCTGTCTTGCCTGGAGTTGATTATCAGTCGCTGACTACTTTCTTTTTTTTATTTTATCTTGATTGATCCCCTCAGGTGACAAACTATTTAAATGTGAGGAATGCGCAAAGCTGTTCAGCCGTAAAGAGAGCTTGAAGCAGCATGTTTCATACAAGCACAGCAGGAACGAAGTGAGTGGAAATGACTAGTGGACTTTTTCTGAGGTTAGGTGAAAATGTACAGTGAGCTTCCAGGTGCTAGCTGTGGAGCTTGGGTCAATTATATTTGAGCAGATATCCATGTGGATAAATGAGATAAGGCTGATAGGGAGAGGTAACATCTTCTGTTAGACAGCTGATGAATTTGCAAAGTGGGGACACACTTTTGAGCATACAATTCCTTTTTCGTGTCTGAATTTCCTATAGAAAGTTGTTTTCAGGCATCAGTTACAGCAAAACAAGCTGGAGTTAGCTGGACCTGCATGATCTAGAGGTGAGATCTGACTTCAGTTTATGGTACTAAATAGGATTGTTCCAGTCTTGTTTGCTTGTCCTGTTTCACTTATCCCCACCTGTAGTGTCATTTAATGTATGAACTCTCTGGGAGAATGCTGTGTCATTAAGGACTATGTGCGCATGTGTAAACCTACAGCGCTTACAGTAGCAGCATCGTGCCTGTAGTGGGGCCTTGTCAGTGAGTATTTTGCTGCTTGGCATCAAGGTCCTAAGCTCTCAGATTGCTGTCATCTTTTCTGGAGGATGAGTCAGATTACATCTTGCTTCTCAAAAACTCTGTCTCTGTTGAACTGGGGATTATCAGGAAGACTGTTACATGCATACAGGTGCATGGTTTACTTTTTTTTTTTTTTTTTAGAGAGCTCAGGTGTAGGAACATGACAGGATGATACAGTGTCAGAATTTTGCATCAATGTGTATTTAAATGTCCCGTTGAAGAAATAAAAATTGGAAAAGACAGAAAACAGAAAAAGTAGTTGAGATTTAGAATTTCTCTGTCAGATGTGACTTGGCTTTTTCCCCGCTTAAACAGCTACTGTTTGCAATCCTCAGGTTGACAGTGAGTACAGATACAAGTGCACCACGTGTGAAAAGGCCTTTCGGATAGAGAGTGCATTGGAATTCCATAACTGCAGGACTGGTGAGAATGGCTAATGGTTTCGCTTTCTCTGGCATCTCTACTCCATTTTGGGGGGATGTCCACAAATCCATCTCAGCATAGAGACTACAGTAGGGAAGTAGGAGTTTAGATTTTTGTCATCATCACAACAACCACCTGCCCCACTTATCACAAAAAGAGTTTTTTTGAGGTAAGAAAAGTGTAACCAGTAATCTGTAGAACAACACATCCACTTACGTATTGCTTTTTTTTAGTATCTGCTGCTCACTCATCTAATATCCTCACTGGTGTTTCATTTGTATGTTCACAGACACCCTGTCACCATCTCTGTTTAATCTTCTTTCCTGAAACTAAGTTTCACCTCATTTTTCTGAAGTAGAGGAACTGGAAGGGGGGCCAGTACTATCAACAATTTGTAGTTTTCTGTAATTACAGTTTTCTTGTGCTTTCTTTATACTTGCAGTAGTCTCTCTAGATGTTTTTTCTTACTGTCCTTTTCCCCCATAGCTATCCCTTGTGGTTACTCACATTATTTATGCTGAGTGATCTTATGCTTAGAAAATGACGTCGTGGTTACTTTTATGGACCCATGATAACTGTCAGTCCAGAATCACCTGAGTAATTGCTCCTTATAGCACCATTCAAAGTAGGTTTTCTCATTTCCTTTCAGAGGGTACAGCTTGTATAAAAGCTCAGCCTTACCAAGAATGGAAAATAATATGAAGTAACCTCAGTATTCTGTTTATTCAAGGGCAGCAGCTCATTTTCTGTCTGAGTAGACCAAAACGAGCAGCAGTTTTTGCTCTGCTCTTCAAGGTATCAAACTGTTACTTCTTTGTGATTGCTGCAGCACTGGCATATTCCACCTACAAGATCATGCTTTCATGTTCCAAGAGAAGTCTCAACTACTGAATACAAAACACATTCCTCATAGGCCTACTGTTATGTAATGGTATATTTTTGAGATTTTATACTTTCTTGAGTATTCTGTACTGGCTGGTATTAGGAGCCAGTGCTGGCAGAAGTATTCTGGTGCTTAGACACAGCTGTGTGATGCTGTGTTGCTGTATGCATAGTGATTTTACCAACATTAAAAACTTGAATTAACTATAACAGAATCCACTCCAAAGATAATTTTAATGTATGCTACAACACAATGGAAATAGCCCATGTGAGGAAGTTACAATGATAGATTCCATGTTCAAGTTAGCATCATATACATTTATTGCCTTTGAAAAAAAATTTTAAGTAAAAGAACAGATGCTTTTGCATTTCCCTCCTCAATCCACATAATGATCGATTACATGTTAAAACTCAGATCTAACAAAAGAACTACGTACAAACTACAAAAGAAGCACACAAAACCTGTTTTCATCTGTAAAGAGCTGCATGGTTTCTCTTGCTTACAGATGACAAGACATTCCAGTGTGAGATGTGTTTCAGATTCTTTTCTACAAACAGTAATCTTTCAAAACACAAGAAAAAGCATGGGGATAAGAAGTTTGCATGTGAAATCTGCAATAAGATGTTCTACCGGAAGGATGTCATGCTAGACCATCAGAGACGACACTTGGAAGGTAAGTATACTGCAGATCAACCTAATTATTACTCTTGAAACAGCAGTAGAGGTGGGAAGGTTAAGGAAATCATTGTGTGTTAGATTCTTCTGGATGGTAGCTGTCATTTTTTTGTCAGTTACCTGATCTGGAGTAGCAGGTTTCAGCAAAATGTGACATTTATTTAAAATAATAGTAATGGAACCTGGAGGGCAGTTGTCTAATTCCATGAAAAACTTTCTAGGAGAGGTACCTACCTTTTTTTTTCAGCCTCACATGATTGGTGAGTGTGCTACTAACAGTCATGTGAAAGTTGCTTGGCTTATTATGCAATAGTTTAGACTAGCTGATTTTAATTGTATCTTTTTCTTTCTTTGAATTCTTTTTTTTAAAAAGTGTGTAGTAACTTGAAAATTTGAAGGCAGAGAATTAACTTGCAATGTACAACTGAAAGTGACTACTGTATAGGAATGCTGTGTGATGTTATCTCTCAAAATCTTGAGAATATATGAAAATGAGATAATTTCAGTGTTCAAAATCTCAAACATCTAAGGATGTTATAATTACTGAAAGACTCTGTAAAAACTTGGGTGATGGTAGATTGCTGAAATAGCTATTAAAATACCTCTAGTGATCTAGATGATAAAACCAAAGGTGATTTTAAAAAAGCAGCCAGGTTGTCTAATTTGCTGCTTTGGGTATAGCCAACCGTCACTGGCTGCTCTTGTGATTCAGACCTTTGTGTCATGAACTAGAGGACAAGGACAATGGCAAGGCATCTCATGTTTAGCTGTCACAGAACAGCAGCAGCCCTCTTCCCTCCCAAAAGCAGAGAAAGAGGTTTGAGATCCTCATTGAGCATTGAAGATGATGCTGGATGGTAGCCTCTCTCCTGAGAGACTGCAAAGGGGAGTTTCTACGCCACATATCCAATCAAAGTGCCAAGGCCTGCTATCTGCCTGTTTCCAGGTGTTGACAATAAATTTCTGTTTTCAGACACTTTACAAGTGGTGTAATAACCAATAAGCCATAATACATCACTTTGGCAGACTGCTTTTATATTCTTAAGACACCGTTTTAATTTAGAAATTATCCTTTTGTTAGCAATTAAATTCTGCATTGAGGCTCTTCCCAGTGTTTCACTCTTCTTTACAGTATTCACCTGAAAGGGCATGCAGATTGGAGTGGAAAACCATGGTTTATTTTTTTTGTTTTGTTTTTTTGATGGGGACTGTTCTGTTAAGGGGTGAGGCGTGTGAAAAGAGAAGACTTTGAGCACAGCACGGAAAACATGGTTCGCTACAAGAAGGAGCCTTCGGGATGCCCTGTGTGCGGGAAGGTAGGCGTCTTTCCCCATGTGTGCCATGTGAAGCTCTGCATTGTAGCTCCAAGGATACTGCAGTGGTACAGTGTGCCTCAACCCAGCGCCTCCCAATGAGTTACCGTGGCATAACAAGCTACCACCCATGTATTAAACCACAATAGGAGCCTACCTGAATAGGCACACAGCCTGCCAAATGGTTGAGGTAAATGACTTGCACTGATGTACGTGCCACGTCAGATTACCTTGCAACTCAGACAGGCGTGTGGTTAGTTACTAGCGAGCCCTGTCCCCCAGCCAAGATGTTACTCTTTAAACTGCCTTAGCTCCCATATATATCCAGTATAGACTAGACTTTTTTTCAGGACATGTAGCACAATGTAGAGTGTAACATGGCCACTGTGTCCGTCAGTGAAATCTCATGGCTTGTGTTATTTAGAGTGAAGTTTTTCTGTCGGACTGTAAACAGCTGGAGTTGACTGTGTGTATTGGGAAACATTTTCTATTGGAAATCAAAGCAAATTCATGGTGTAGTCATGGCACTGTTGCATTTAGGTGTTTAACGCTCATGATCTTAAGATGTTGTTATCACAGGTCCAAAGACTGTGGGTTTAACTAGTGATTTTATAAATGTTTAATGATTCATGGTGCAGGATGTACTCTAGCAACTCTTAAGCTGGTGTGTAGACCTTTGTTTTTGATGCTTTGGATACGTTGCATATCAATGAAGGTAGATTTTGTGGATGTGTCTTTTTATAGACAGGTGGAACATTCATGATTCAAAAGACGCTGTCTAAATATTTCTAAATTTACCCTACGTAATTCTGATGCAGCTTTTTTGGAAGTCCACCTCTGATGGATGGCCAATTTCAGTCAGTTCCTTGGAACCGTACACCTGTATTTTGCTGTGCTAGCAGTTTCTGCAGTAGCCTGTTGGCTGGATAACAGGAGCTCCTACATGTTTCTGGCCAGAATGAATAAAACAGGACAGTAAATATGTTCTGTGCTACCCGCTGGATAACTTGCAAAGAACTGTAGCCCTGCTGGACATGATACACAAACCCTTCCTTCCTTCCTTCTTCTTTTCTTTTAGGTATTTTCATGTAGGAGCAATATGAACAAACACCTCTTAACACATGGAGACAAGAAATACACTTGTGAAATCTGTGGACGTAAATTTTTCAGGGTGGATGTGTTGAGAGATCACATTCATGTCCATTTTAAGGTATTGTGTTAATAATTTATTAGAAAATGCCTGTTACTTAGCAGGTACATAAACATATCAATAAATATATTGAGACTGTTAGGGCCACATGTTCATACTGGCAACACAACAGTGATTATGTACCCTGTGCAGTGATGTTTCTATAGCAGCCTAGTATGAGTTGTGCCCTGGTTTACCCATGGCTGTTTCTACATCTGGATTGCTACAGAGTATGTGGACTATCATATTTGAAGTTAGTTCAGCTACCACTGCAGAAAACTGTTCTGAACACTGTGGAAAAACCACCTCTGTGGCCTTGGGTAAATCACAGAAGTTGCTCAGTTTAAAGCAGAGAAAATAACAAGAAGGCTGCAGTCAGATGTATTTTTTCAGTTGTAGTTTGGTTGGTCTGAGGGGTTACTGTCATCCCCTCTCTTAGTGGGGAAAAAAATGAGCAAGAGAACTAATTGTTCCTGCCCTTTCCCTGCCAATGATTGTGATTCTCTTGTACATGCCAGCATAACTGCCTGTGTATTGAGTTCCTTACCTGGTTTTATCAAAATGTTCCAAATCACAAAAAAAAAAAAACAGACCTATTAATAGTGCTTAATCAGACCCAGATTATTTTGGTGTAACTAGGTTAACAATGAATTTTAAGAAATTTAATTGAAAGGGAATTGTATCAGTGGTGCTCATAAAGATGCTTTTCTGGATGTAATACTGTACCAGCTGAGTCTCTATTTACATTAAAATTCATTTTATACACAAAAAATTATTTTTATTTGTTTGGATAAACAGTTCTTCCTTGTTTAGTCATGGACAGAGGAACTTTTTTTACCTGAATTGAATGAAGCAGGAGGTGCTTGCTTTCAATGTGGTAATTTTAACGCCTGACACTTAATGGGTACATAAACTATATAAAATTGTATGCTTCCAAATGAGGGCAGTTGTGCCATTCAAATTAGAAAGCTCTTTTTGCAAGCTGGGTTTTTTAGTGCTTTTGCAGGTGTTTGTGAAGTAAACAGTTGTGTAAGGCAACAGCTGTGAAAAATGAGTGTTACTGTGATAGATGAGGAGACTCTTTTTGGCTGAAAAAAAGAACCCCACATTTTAAATAAATAACGTTACAGCAATTTTTAGTGCAAGGCAGTCTGCATGGCAACAAAAGCTGACTAGGTGTTACCTTTTGAAATAGAAGTTTAATCTAATAAAACAATATTCTTTCCCACCCTGCACAGGACATAGCACTAATGGATGATCACCAGAGAGAAGAGTTCATTGGTAAAATTGGAATCTCATCAGAGGAAAACGATGACAACTCTGATGAAAGTGCAGATTCTGAGCCTCACAAGTATAGCTGCAAAAGGTGCCAGGTAGCTTTAAATACTTTCAAATTAACTTGTTCTGGGATGGGGGAAGGGAGTGGAGATGTCTAGAAATCATTCAGAATTTTAAATAACATTAAGGGTTCACAAAGAGTAGGCCAGTTCACAGGTCTGCTCTCTTCTGCAGTGCTTGTTACCTCTAATCTATGAAGTGATATTCCATAAGACTTTAGGTGGTGTTCTGTCAGGTGAATGATAAACACTTAAGAGAAATACACATACATATGCTTACCTGTATGCAAGGAAGCAAGCAAGCCAAACCAGAGGAAGAAACAATAAAGGAACATGCAAATGTTACACTACCTTTCAATTATGTGCAAATTAAAATCATTACAGCATTTCTGAATGATACAGTCCACAAATTGATTAATTTTGATGAGATCAGATGGTCCTCTAGTGGATATCCAGTTTGATTAAGACTGCTGCTTATGTTCAGTGTGACTGCTTATTATTGGCCTACTCTATTACTAACAGGATGGCACTGGAAGTACTGCTGGAACATACTTCACTCAGCTGTCAGCTGAGAGAGGAAGACTTTTTAAACCTCTTACTGCATGGCTTTTGCCACTTTGTAAAGAAGTAATGGGGAAGAATGAGGTCCTTAAGGACCATTTGGATTCTGTGCCCTTACTGGGTGAGCATGCTGTGCTGGAGCGCGTGGGATGCAAAAGCAACCAGCGAGAACAGCAAAACTGGCCAAACTGACAGAGAGACAGGGGAATTTTGATAGTTAAGCCACTGACTTGGCCCCGGGAAATCAGAGCTTATTTCACAGTCTGCACTTAATATGGTGAAAGACCTTAGCTTATCTTAATTTTAAAGATATGGAGATAATAATACTTCAGTTTTCTGTTCTTATCTGCAAACTGGTTTTAAGTGCAAACTGATTTTAAGCTTAAGTCAGTAAGCATAAGAAGATGTGGTGCCACAGCAGTTAATCATATGCTTGCTTTCAATGTGGTAATTTTAACGCCTGACACTTAATGGGTACATAAACTATATAAAATTGTATGCTTCCAAATGAGGGCAGTTGTGCCATTCAAATTAGAAAGCTCTTTTTGCAAGCTGGGTTTTTTAGTGCTTTTGCAGGTGTTTGTGAAGTAAACAGTTGTGTAAGGCAACAGCTGTGAAAAATGAGTGTTACCTGTGATAGATGAGGAGACTCTTTTTGGCTGAAAATAGCTGTTTACACTTTCCTAAGGGAGAACAACATACGAATGAGTCTCAGTGAAATATTTCTTCTGAGCTCTTAAGAATCGCTCTGTTCATTTTTTTCTCATCCTAAAGTATACCTTCCCCAAGCTGTGCAGTGCTGTCAGAAACGCCCTGACTAGTTCCAACAGTGGAGCAAAAGATCATGTCATGATGGCACTTTGCCCTGATACTTTGGAGCAAATATGCGTATGCAGGGTTGCTTAGCCCAGGGAGCTAAGTAGTGGGGGAGCACCTGTCTATCACTGCTGTAGCACTTCCAGGAGCTGAGCTAGAATCGCTGCCCTGCAATGCCTAGAAATAACCAACTCCTCTGGAGCTAGTGCCAAAGCTTACTATGCAGACTAGAGCTCACCATGCCTCTAGAGCCCAAAAGACCTTTTTTCCATTTGTGGCATCTCTGCTTTGACAGCTAGTGGAGGTTAGATGTGGCTCTCTTCAATGGCTGTTCCTCGGTGCATGAGTAATTGGAGATCCTCTACTCGCACAGTGTAAGAAGCAAAGGTACCATCTCAAGCTCGTTTTCCAAATGAGTTAACTGATGTCCTGTAGCAGTGTGCTTGTAATGGCCAGAGGGTCAGGGCTAAATCCAACTTTCACAGATTTTTCATGTAGTGATACACAGGATATTTATATCTACTAGCTCTGACTCTAGGTCCCAGTAATGTGTTCGTAGATCGTCGCTGTTCCTGACATCTTTTTTCCCCTTTCATTCACTATTGGTTCATTCCACAGTTGACTTTTGGCAGAGGGAAGGAGTACCTGAAGCACATAATGGACGTGCACAAGGAGAAGGGCTATGGCTGTAGCATTTGTAACCGACGTTTTGCCTTGAAGGCAACTTACCATGCACACATGGTCATTCATCGGGAGAACCTGCCTGATCCTAACGTGCAGAAGTAAGATGATGTGTTGGACTGATAAGAGGGCTATATCCTTTTGAAATTACAGTGGTTCTGCCATCTGATGTTTTTAGAGCACTGGGCTGTACTAAAATATCTGAGACTGTATAACGTGTGTTAAAATGTTTATTAATAGCCTGAAATACATATCACTAATGATTCACTCCATATAGACGATTAGTCAACAGCCTCCTGGTTTTGGCTTCGTAAAGTATAAATCTATGATTTTGGTAAATATTTTTTTAAAAATATGATTTGGGGATAGAGCAATGCCAGGCTGCTCCAAGCTTGTAGTGAACTTAATAGGTTTCTTAAGGCTCATTTTAAAAATGCATTTATCTTTCAAGGAACTTTTATAGTGATTAGTATTACCAAGTGAAATACAATTACTGACAGAGATGCCTGAAAACCACCTTTGGCTTAAGAAAAAAATCACAGTTTTTGGTCTCTTTGGTTTCAGATACATCCATCCATGTGAAATCTGTGGAAGGATTTTTAACAGTATAGGAAATCTGGAAAGACATAAGCTTATACATACAGGTAAAAATGTTGTGTTTCTTCATTATTATCAGTATTAAAAAGAAATTTCTGTTGCCAGTGCCTGCCTTACTTTTTCAGGAGGAAATAAGTTACAAGTTTTTACTGTTAGTTACAACAAGATAAATGTTATATTTATGTTTTTAGGGTAGACTGGTTTTCTAAAGCAGGTAGTATTAACGAAGATATTTAGTCTAGGCACACAATCCAGATTCCTAGTTAATACGATGTGGGATTCACCTGCTAAAAATCCTAATTCTGTATTCTGTTCTTCCCCAAATTCTTATTCATGCCACCTTCTCACCAGTACACAGGCTGAAAACTGCTATTGCAAAATCATTTTTAACAGCTCATTATTATTTCATGCTATTCAGTATTTTCCTACCTCAGGCTTTGTCTGTCTTTTTTTTTTCCAGATCTCACACAAAAAGACAGCTTTTCTCTCTCTCTCCAAAGTCTTCTAATTTAGTTTGGGCTATGCATGAAAGATGTGGTTGACAACACAAGTGGACTGTTGTCCTCTAATTCACCAGTTTAGTCAGTTTTTAGGAGATGCACATTTTTCATTAACATTTTTTTTGTTTATGTTGTCTTTTAAATTTATTTTTAAGGTGTAAAAAGTCATGCTTGTGAGCAATGTGGCAAATCATTTGCTAGAAAAGACATGTTAAAAGAACATATGCGAGTCCATGATAATATCCGAGAATACTTGTGTGCAGAATGTGGCAAAGGTATGTCTAATGCCTTGTTTTCCGTTAATTGTTATACTGAATAGCAGGTGAATTGGGAAGGTCCTCAGAGTGCTGTAAATCCTACATTCTTGAGAGGTAGAAACCGTATTAATCAGGAGCCTTATGGTTACATAAACTGCCCCTAATTTTATACAATTTAGTTTCATGGCCTGTAAGCCAAAACTGATTTTAATAAAATTGGCTTCTGTCAGATTAAGTAGTGCTTGCCTGACTGAGTTCCAATGCATTTGCAGCACAAAAGTGAATACAAGTTAATTTTTTCATTCTAGGCTGTTTTCAGGCTTAAGAAATAGAATAATTTCTCTCTGTAAGCCTTAAGAGTCAAAGTTGCTTTGACTTTTTGAGTTGTTCATGTTATAACTTGAACGAATCTGAACTGGTATTTTAGTGGAAAGGCAGTAAGTCTGACATCTCTAACGCTGTTTTGTCTTTGCTTATACCTGCTGTTTTGCTTTTTCCTCAGTGGTTACTCAGATGTTTTCCAGAGCCTTTTTCTGGAATTGAAATAATAATGATAATGTGCACTGTTACTTAAACAATTAAAAATATGCAATTGTGGACATGCAGGAAATACAGTCTTAGAGCTCTTGACTACCACCACAGTCATCCTGAGTTCTCCTCTGAAGGTGGGAGCCATGGACTGATTGTTGTGCTGTACCTTTTGTCTCACAGGAATGAAGACAAAACACGCACTTCGTCACCACATGAAACTTCACAAAGGGATTAAAGAATATGAGTGCAAGGAATGTCACCGAAAATTTGCACAGAAAGTCAACATGCTGAAGCATTACAAAAGACACACAGGTGAGGTCTCTAAAGGTAGAAAAGTTGCACTGAACCAGGTAAATGCTTCCTGAGGGAACTCTTGTCTAGAACAGTCAGAGAGTACGAGGGACACTAATAAAAAAATATGCATATTCTGCTTTTTGAAAAGTGAGATTTTTGTCCTCTTGTCAGCCAAGACCACCTGTTGTACAATTAAAATCTATAGTTTAGCTGGTTTCATGTTTTGCTGTTTTAAGATAGGTTGTTTTGGTCTAGGGTAGGTCTAGAGTGTCGGTTTTGTTTTAAGTTAGTCTTCAGGTTCTCATTTCACAAAACAAATTTTTACATCCCGCATCAATTTCTCTTGGATTCATTTTCTGCCAGGTATAGTGACATGGCTTAGATAAAAATAGCTGGTGAAGCTGGGCTGCTTCTACTTCTTTGTCTGTGATTTTTTTTTATTATATATTTTTTTTTAGTAATATGAGACTTGGAATTGTCACAGATATCTTAGACTATTTTCACTCTGATATTAAATGTGCTCTTCATGCAGGAATCAAAGATTTCATGTGTGAGCTCTGTGGCAAGACGTTTAGTGAGAGAAATACAATGGAGACTCATAAGTTGATTCATACAGGTAAATCCTCTAAAAAACAGTATCCAAAGACAATATCCTAATTTTGTTCCTAGGCTTGCTTTAGATTTGCCAGTATTGGAACTAGTGTTACACATCATGTTACCAACATAAAATTCTTCCTGTTGTTGAGATGCTGACAATACGATGCTCATCTTTGGGGGCTGTTTCTAACAGCATTTCCTTCCATCTGCCACCAGTAGGAAAACAGTGGACATGTTCAGTCTGCGATAAGAAGTATGTCACTGATTACATGCTACAGAAGCACATCCAGCTCACTCATGATAAGGTAGAAGCCCAGAGCTGCCAGCTGTGTGGGACAAAGGTTTCTACCAGAGCATCCATGAGTCGACATATGAGGCGTAAACATCCAGAGGTGAGTTAGTTTGTCAGCTAGATTGTGGGGTGGTTTCTTGTTTGTTTTGTTTTAAAGAAAGTTTATGGCCTTCAGTGACTTGAAAGGATTTACTCTTTTTTTTCCTCTCTTTTTCTGTTCTTTTGGGGCCAATTTTAGGTGATCTCTGTTAAGCATGCACTTAACTGAATCAGCCCTTTCATTATGTTTCGGTAGTAAACATATCTGATTGTCAGTCCCTAAAAATTAAATTGTTCTGATTATTTAAATCCCCTTTCTTTTTCTGCTTCAGCTTAAATGTATATTTTTTTCATATTTTGTCTTCATACATTAGTGAGTATAATTGATTCTTTTTTCCCCATTGTGTTCTCTGTATTCAGAAGTGCTCTGAAAGACATGGTGAATAGAGAGGTGATGGCAGCATCTGCTGATGATACAAAATTATTCTTAGTGTTAAAGCTGAATGCTAACTACAGAGAATCTGGATTAGAGGGATGTTTTGTCTGACCCCAACGGGGCTTTTTCTGTGTTCTAAATTTCTGAATAGCTATTGTGTTTCTCCTCAGCATTTCTTGTTTAGGTTGACTAAGGCTTGTCTGTTGTCTTTGAGGCTTTTTTTTTTACTACTGATTTGTCACTAGTATTGCTTTGCTGTGAACATTTTTTTATTGTGATGATTGGGAAGGAAGTCAACAAAAAGCTCTGTTTATTGATTTTTGGATTAAAAATGCAGGTACATAACTGCAATCCAGAGGGCACTTTGTTCTTTGATAAACGGAGATGTATAGATTCAGCTGAAAGTAATGGAGTAGGACACAGTTGATAGGTTTATAAATAGAAATGCTAAACTAATAATATTTTTTTCAAACACATTGTTTGTTTTCTATAGAATTCATCACTTCCCAGTGGGTTGTGTTCTGTCTAGAATATGAAGATAAGCATATTCTTTTATTGTTGTCTTTAAACTTTGCTGGTTTTCAGTGAGAATGAAAAGGTTATATGCCAAAAGGTTATTTTAAAAAAAGCCATGGTTAATCCCCTTGTATTAAATTAGATGTGTAAAATGTTAGATTACATTTTTGCTTTGTGACAGGATTTATTAGGGCAATGCTGTATTGTTTGACTGTGGTATGCATTGCTGCAGTTTACCAGGTGATACTTCTTTGTCTACAGATTCTGTCAGTGAGGATTGATGATTTAGAGCAGCTGCCAGAGACTACTACCATTGATGCCTCCTCAATTGGGATTGTTCAGGTAAGTTTGCCATTGCAGAATTCTGGTGGCAGCTAGGTTCCAGGCCTACTGGAGGGTGAGGTGGGGACATCACTTTTTTGGTACATAACATAGCTGGGCGTAGGCTGATGGGCAAGGAATGTGCTCTTTTAGAGAGTCAACCCCAGCTTAACATGTGTAAGCAGATGCAAGCTGTTGATCTGTTTTGTTGTATAACATGGGTGCTGGTAAAATGGAGGTAATTACAGGGTGAGGTCTCTCTGCCTGAAATCAGGTTTTTGCTGAAGTTTGTTTCTTCACTTGAGAATCAGCAGTAAACGAACTTCAGGTGATAGTCTCTTTCTTGGAACTTGACTAAGCAAAATGACTTGATGTTTTGTTTGGAAATGTGTTGCTCCAGCCGGAATTAGCCTTGGAACAGGGAGAATTACCAGAAGGGAAACAGCATATGAAAGCCCCTAAACGTGGCCAGAAACGAAAACAAAAGTCAGGTGAGGAGGAGGAAGCTCAAGTGCCTGAGGACCCTGCCTTCAGTGAATACACAGAGAAGGAAGGTGAATTTACAGGGAATGTTGGAGATGAGACAAATTCAGCTGTACAGAGCATCCAGCAGGTGAGATCCAGTAGCAGAGTGACAGGTAGCAGGCATTGCTTAGAGGCATAACCCTTCTTTTTTTTTCCTAATAGCAAACACAAAAGAGTGATCAGAACATGTAGAGCTAATTTGGTTAATTGTGGTAATACGAAGGTGAATAGAGACTTTAAAAAAAAGAAGGCATTGGACCAGTAAGCTCCTCGTGTTTGTTTTCATTTTCTTTGGTGTTACCATCTCCTTGTTTGCCAGATACCACTAACTGGCTGAAGCTGTGACTAAAAGTGTGAAAGTTAATTTGGCTGCTTGTTTTGAATGTTGCATATGCCTCCCTCCCGTTACCTTCTCATTTCTATATGTGGAAGTTGTTATATTCCAAGCTTTCTATGTTCCCCTCTGTGTGTACGCCTTCTCTTGCTGCCAGCAGCAACATGGGAGCCCAGCAGCACTCGGGTGATCTTTCTTGGTGCTTGATATTTTGGTAGTCAGCTGCAAGATATAAGGTTGAGGTTACCTTTCTGTTTTTCCTCAGGTGGTGGTGACCCTTGGCGATCCAAATGTCACAGCCCCTTCCAGTTCTGTCGGGCTGACAAATATCACTGTTACCCCCATTACGACGGCAGCTGGAACTCAATTCACAAACCTCCAGCCAGTGGCTGTGGGCCATCTAACTGCACCTGAACGCCAGTTACAGCTGGACAATTCAATTCTCACCGTGACGTTTGACACCGTCAGTGGTTCCGCCATGCTGCACAACCGCCAAAATGACATTCAGATCCAGCCACAGCCAGAGGCTGCCAATCCTCAGTCTGTGGCCCATTTTATAAACCTGACCACCTTGGTGAACTCCATTGCTCCTCTAGGGAACCAGATAACGGAACAGCATCCTCTGACATGGAGGTCAGTGCCTCAGACTGACGTGTTGCAGCCCCAGGCACAGCCAACGCAACAGCAGTCAGGACAGCAACAGGTTCAAACAGAGCAACAGCAACAGATGTATAGCTACTAATTTATACTTTGAAAAGTTTTGAAATGGACAGTACTTAGGGACAAAAACACACAGACATTTGGTACATTTCTAATAGGATTGTTTGCTGGATACCAAACAGAGATAGGAAAATGTTTATACAATGAAATGTAAGCTAAAATTGGCATAGCACCCTGCAACACCCTAATCTTGAGATTCTCACTATGTCTCTAGAC